ATGATGATGATGATGATGATGATGATGATGATGATGATGATGATGATAACGAAGTATTTCATTTTGTTAGGGAAGTGAACCTCACGCTGTTTCTCCGGTTGAGGTTCAATAAACGGAACATGAGCTATCGTGAAAAGCAAGAAAACTTGCCGGCCTAAAAATGAGGCTGTTTTCACAGTATGGATGAGATGCTAACAAAACTTCGAGAAGCGTGGAAATGCATGGAAATGTTTAAAAAAGGGTTTTTAGAAGTCATCATACGCTGTCGTTGAGAAAAATGAACAGTTCTGTGGGCCGCGCCGAGTGAGTGTTTATCAAGTCAAGGCTCTCTTTTTTCACCTGGCTGACTTGGATTCACGTTAACTTTAAGTGTGTTCACTGAAAACACAAAATTTGCGAATTAAAGTAATTTGTGTCGGCAGGTCTTTATCCTTTCCTCTCCACGGCCGAAAATAAGAATTGAAACCCTACGTAGAAGAGCCTTATTTTAATGATAAACAGTTCGATGCAATAATGGACACCCTTTTATAAATGATCGGCATAAATATTTAGTCTATGTACCGTGATTCTCAGATCCCTTTGTCTCGGATTAATGTTGGATTTTTGAAACATACTTAAAAGGCTTCATGTGTGATTAACTAACGTCCTATGATCCAGGCATTTCGAATTTAGTTACACTAGCACTTACCTTGACATCGCCAGACCCTTTCGTTCCACACAGTCTGCTTTTGATCGTCAACGACACACACAGTGCCCTCCAAAGGCAGCCCTAATGTGTTTCATGTTGAAGTATTGAAAGACGTTATATTACGAAACCGTATTATCGCATATTATTGAAAGTTTCGTTACTGTAGGCAAAAATAACTTATAAGACGGAAGATCGGTCGTAGTAAAATTTTATCTGATCCCCGAAAAATCGCTAATCAATTCTTTCGATGACGTTTCAAAGCAGCTCTTTATCAGCACTATTGCTGGTGTATAGCCCCGTTTGTCATCCAACATATATCTCCGCTACCCTGGTGCACTTGACTATAACAAAAGCGGGATGGTGGAACAAGATGCGGAAACGTTAATTTTCCCGGCCGACCAAACCCCTGCAAGGCCTTAATTTCTGCGTTCTGTTTGTAGGAGGCGAAGCTCTTCAACATCCGTGCTGTCTGCCGGCAGACTACTGTTAAAGCCATTCAGGGTACCGTGGAACTACGTTTCACATGTATAGATTCGAACCGTCCTCTACCCCGACTGAGGGGTGAACTCAAGTCCACGGATTTGCCAACGGATGCCATGAACCACCACATCGTCCAACGCCCTCTCTCGAACACCACAGAGATCGTCTTCTCAATTTTCCTGCCCCGCGCTGGCGAGTACCCTCTAAACATCTATGCCAACGACCGCCAACGAGATGGCAGCACCTTCTTCCTGGTGAGTGCGGCTTAAAATTGTTCTCCGCCCCCTGCCCAAAAATTCGACCTTTTTACGAAAGTACAGCCGCATGTAATCGATACTATCAACTGTTGAATGCCTACATCTCACACCCTATGTTGTTCCCATTGCTTACTATG